CCAACAGGCCATAAAAATTTGGCTGAAATAACCAGGTGACCATGAGGCGGGGTTCCACTGTATAAAAATAAAAGTTATTCACCTGGTGAGGCACAACAAACACCAAAATATCTGCATCCTTTGCAGCTGTGACTACATCTGGGGTTGCTTTCTACGATAAAAGAGACACAAAGGGTTAGTAAATAATTATTTTCAAGGTATTTGTTATAAAAGGAATAAATTAATATAGTTCTCACTGCCCAGTTGATAAGTGTTTTCTAAAATTACCTTAGTTTACTTCATCCTCAATTTGTTAGAAAATTGTAAATTTAAAAAGAATAATGTGTTGGTAAATATAGGCTTGAAACACAAAAATAAAATATATAAGAAGGGGCAGCCTAACTTCTAAGTAAAATTTGAAATAAAATGAAAATTGATATTGAAATAGAAACCTTGTACCTTTCATTTTCCAACAACTCAGAATAGTTAATGCCTCTCACGTGGTGAACCATTAGATTTTTAAGGCGTGCAGAGGGTGTGTGATTTTGACAAAAAACTATCTTGCAAGCATACGTGTACCTAAAAAATCATGCATGTGACCAGTCACTGCCAAAAACAGCCATGCATATTCAGTGAGCCAAAAAAGTATGTTATGCAGAGAAATATATCATGCATACACAATTCCTGAGAAAAAAAATTGTAGTTCATGTAATTCTTAAAAAAGTCATGCCTATAGCAATAACCCACACACCCCCTCGAAAGTTGGATGGTGCACCCTTAGACCTGTGGATTACATGGCCATAAAGGTTTCATGTTACAAGATAAGAATTCCTAATAACCAAAGAACTCTAAATCATAACACCATTATTTCACAGATAAAATTTACCATTCTGGTGCAAAATTGCAAAAGTAAACTTAATATAATATTTACAAGATATAAGTCAAATAAGCTGAGTTGGCAGAATTATAGTGAATGATGATGAAATCTTTGCTGCCTGGTCATGGCTTTTTTGACAAACCGAGTTTGTTTAGACAAAAATACTGTAAGTAGACAGGAAAGTCAACCATATTTCATGCAATAAACCCAAGCCTAGATAATCAGCTGGAAATCCCAGAATTGCAGGTAATTTCCTATGGCCTGTGCAACAGAAGTTCCTGCATGATGTTCCAACTATGAGAAAACTCTTGCAATTCAGGATGGAATTTAATCAATTAAACCAAATATTGGACCTTTCTGTCGTTGTATGTTTCTTAATAGCAACAAATAAGATTTAATTAAAACTTTTGATAATAAATTGATTAACACATGGAACAATCACTTGTCTCAAACTAACTCATCTGTTATCCAGCAATACAAACAAATACTTATGCTTATGCAAATTAAGTAAGACTGTTTACACACAGTACAGCCCTTGACACTAATTTATACCCGTCTGCTTGAATAACAACCTTAAAATAGCGCCTACTCAGACGTTATGTTGCTTGCTTCGGGTGTTTTCTTAAGGGACAGGCACAACACCTTCATTTTCGCATTTACTAAGCAGGATTTCATGTGTTACCACCACATCCAAATGCAGATTTGTTTCTGAATTACACAATTTTCTGGTGACATAAATTTTATTTAGTACATTCCATTGGCGAACTCTCTTGATCTTTTGTAATATTAATCGATCTCTATGAACTTACGATGTTCTCCGGGAGCTTAAACCCTTTCAGGTACTTCACATTTTCGTGTTCTGTGTTGATAATCTCTGTGAGTTTCTTTCCTTCCACCAGCTCTTCATAAACGTACATTTGAACTTCTTCCTGGAATAGATTCGGATGGTCTTTCACATTGGCACCGACAATCCGAGATATCACAGAACCCCTAAACAAAGTTAATTAACACAAACCAGTTAAGTTCAAGCGCATACCGCTAAACTAAACGTGTTCCAGAACCACTCGATCAAGTCGATTCGAAGGTAAATTTCTCTGTTACTGAGACCAGAAATAGTGAGTTCGAATCTCTAGTGAATTAACTTACCAGTTTCCAGAGCCAATTATCGCGACTTTTCTTGGAGCCGCCATTCTTAAACCGTGCAGAGCTCGAGTAAAACAGCTCATGCTTTCATGGTGGAACTGATGTGGTAAACGAACAGCATCATGGGACATGGGGCACCCACGGCCACAGGCCACAGGAATACCAACATCTCGAGAAAGCCACGCGCGAGACACGAGGTTTCCTCGAACATCGAACAAAAAATGCACAGTATAAGGAAGTATGTCATATGCATCAAATTCAACTGATAGTTTATTAAGATCTTGGAAAGAAATTGTCTTCAAAGGAAATAATGCCCTGAAAGGGTAAAATATTAAAAGGAGAATTTATCAAGATTTTGAAGAACCAAGGTTCCTTGGCACCGACTTAGTTTCTGCAGAAGAACTCAGTTGTACCACACGTGTGCGGCGGAGGAGAAACCACCCTGCCTGTCTTCGCTCTTCTCTATCTTTCCTTCCTTCATCTCAATTTGTATTCATGCAAACGATGTTATTCTCCGACTGGTATTTCGCGTTATGTTTAACGATTCTATTTCCCGGTCAGTAGCGGAGAAGCCTAAACCTTTAGGGGAGTGATCATAATCGGCAAGAGAAGACGACTGAAATTTCCGCTATTCTATGAAAAAGCATGCAAACAGTACAAAACGTTTTCGGCCTTGAAATATTTCCGAGGCTTTTGAGAAACGCGAACGCCTTATCAGGATGTCTACGGTCACTTTTCGAAATTTCCGGAAACTTTTTTCAGTTTTCCCGCGCTTTCTGGTGAAAAATGCATGTTTGGTCATTTTGCTCGTGAAGTGTGCGATACGAACCTACCACGAGACATACGTCCATTAACTTTTCATTGCATGTAAGTTTTCAAAGAACAAACCTTTGTGTTTCTGTATTGATTACCTTGCAATGAAAGAAGATCAGTACACCTACATTTCCAATTTATTACGGAATATCAAAATCAAAATTCAGTCCAACAAAGAAATCATTTTATTGAAATCACAAACTTATCAAGATTTAAGCTTACAGCTCCAACGTAGAAATACAAATTTGAAATCCATTCAGTTTACATACTCAGGTACCTGCCATTTGTCAAGTTTAGTTTTCTAAAAAGTTGTATAAAATCAAAACATCATAATTGGGTTTTTTACAATCATGGGCTTTTGCCTTCTCAATAATTGTCAATGAACAGACCTTTTAATTATCAAATATCAAACTTGCGATCTACTTTTAAGTTGATTACAAAATCAAACTTTTCAAAATACGTAAGTCGTATAATCAGGCTCTGAACTTTAACAAAGCTACCTTATTATTCCAATCTGAAATAACAAATTTCAATATTAAACTGACCTAACATTTAACTTTTCGGAAATCTTCAATACTAAGCTAAAAAAAAATTAAATACTATATTGTTTTAAACGACACCTCGGCTTGATATCCGGAACCTTTCGTTCCCAGAGGTCGTGTCGCGCATGGTTTGGTCAATGTGCGGGCGCGGTTGGTTGTTGTCATAGAGAGTTTAAGCATGACGTTTACGGCAGACGGCAAAGATTACCTCTGAATTTTTATTCTTTTTTTTATCCGTAATAAATCACACAAAAATAGAAAAAAGTCTCCTACCATTTACCGCAAATACAAATATTTTCACTCTACTGTACAAACAGCTGAAGACAGACGGCAAAAGTTTCATCTTTGCCGTTCGCCGTAACGTCATGTTTAACCTCTCTTATACTTAAGCATGACGTTACGTCAAACGGCAAAAATGAAACTTTTGCCGTCTGTCTTCAGCTGTCTATACAGTAGAGTAAAAATATTTGTATTTGTGGTGAATAGTAGGAGACATTTTTCTACTTTTGTGTGGTTTATTTAAGGATTAAAAGAAAATATTAAAAGTTCAGGGGTAATCTTTGCCGTTTGTCGTCTGCCGTAAACGTCATGCTTAAACTCTCTAAACTCTCTAATTAAAGCGAACTTCGAACGCCATAACTTACTAAACCGGATAACGACCTTCATGCATGGCGAAGTCGCAAGTTAGTCGGGTAAGCGTCCCCTCGAGCATCCAATCATTACAATTGGGCTTCTGTTTGTGGTTTCCGTTTAATTTCAGATATAATTGAGGCTCTGCTATTCACTTTACAAGTCCTAAGTTCATGAAAATCGTATTGTCACCAATCACACCCTTTGGACAATTTTGCTCTATGTCAAAATAACTTTCTTTAGATCTATAATTTAGCAATTCATCACCTTGGATTTGTACTACCTATGAGGAACTTTTTTTTATTAACTACTCTCTTATACCTCTTAATATCATGCATGATGCAGTCACATAATTTTCTTACTGTCTTCCCACTTTTGTGGTATGTCCATTACACTATTAATGTCTTTATTTTGTGTTTTTTCCTGGTCATAGTCATCCCACACTGCTCTGTCACTGCTCTGGTATTGCTCTGCCGCTGCTCTCCCACTGCTCTGGGGAGATAAGGAGAATACCAAGAAACACATACAGAAGATTGCTCAACTAGCCAAACTAATGTGAACAGTAACGCTCCAAAGAAATTACAACACTTCAAGCTTCAACACTCCAAGCTTGGATCAAGTTACAAAGTTGGAATTACTAAGTTGGAGCAATCTCTTCAGACAGGAGCTTAAGCAGACTGCACAACAGCTTCCTGGCCTGGAACAACTTCCACAACATCCATAGAGGCATTGTCAGTGGATGACTCTGAGGCCATCTCAACATCACCGTCATCAGCAGCTTGTACTTCACCATTAGCATTATTAGAAGTGGCTTGTGTTTCATCAACAGCATTCGCAACTTCATTCCCTGCTTTATTTTGATTAGCTGATGTTGTTGTGCTTGTCTCCTAAAAAGATTTTAAAGCAAGGTGTAAGTAAATATCTTATCAGCTCTAACAGCTGCACTGTACACTGGTATTTGATAATATTTAAATAATTTAAGAGTTCCTGGTCTCTTCTGCTTTTACTTTAGAATCCTATCATGTTTTCCTTGTAGAATGTAAAATTAACCACGACATTAAAAAAGTAAGGGAAAGGGGAAGATCCATACTGAAACAAAAGGCAGTGGCCTGGATTGAAATAGTACCAGAAAAAATAATGTTGGCCTACCAGCCTCGCTTTTACATAACAAAGTTGAGGCTCAGGCCTCCTGGATCTGTCTCGGGATAACTATGTTATCTTACCGTTGCAGTTAGGTTTATGAGAAAATGTTTGTACAATTTGAGGTAATAAACTAAACAACTTTCCAATACTATGTTTTGACACTTTTCGAATTGATGATTCTGCACTGTCTTCTGAATCACATTTCTCTCACTCACCTTTCCAGGTAATGGCTTATCTGGGTGATTCTTACGAGCATGCTTCAGACGGGCACCTGGCTGGGTGAACGTCTTATCACAGTGGTCACACTTGTAAGGACGACTACCAGTGTGAGTACGGATGTGGCAAACCAAGGTGAATTCAACCGTGAAGGCCTTGCCACAAATGTGACATTTATATGGGCGTAAACCAGTGTGGATGCGGCTGTGACGCTTGAGATCATTGGTCTGTGTGAAGGTCTTCCCACATTTGTCGCACTTAAATGGTCGTACTCCAGTATGGATCAATTCATGCCTGGACAGGGTGTTCCTGTGTGTGAAAGCCTTCCCACAGGTATTGCACTTAAAGGCCTTCTCCTGACTGTGCGTCCGCATATGGGACAGCAAAGGTGACTGCAATGCAAATGCCCGACCACAGATCTTGCATGAGTAAGGCTTCACTCCAGTATGCGTGCGGCTGTGTGCTTGCAGACTGCCCTGCTGTGAGAATGCACGACCACAAAGGTGACACTTGTATGGCTTCTCCCCAGTGTGCACCAGTTGGTGGCGCTGTAGATGTTTCAGCAAGGTAAACTCTTTGCCGCACTCTTCACACTTGTGTTCTTTGATGCCAGTATGAATCAACTTATGGCACTGCAGCGTGTAGTTGCGGATGAATGCTTTGCCACATTCGTCACATTTGAACTTCTTCAGCTTCTCATTTTGTTGGCGAGCATACTCTTCGGTAACTTTGATCTTGGGAATAGCGGCACGAGGGCCAACAGGTTGAGGAACAAAGATGCTTCTCTGTTGTCCTGAGAGAGAAAATATCAGATTAGTAACTTAGAAACACAACTGTAACAGTAAGGTCTTGTCCATTCATGTCAACAGTCACTGTGAGAATCAAGTGCCTTGTCCTTGAACACCACGCCATGACCACATTCAGGACCGAAACTGAACTGCTCAATGTAAAGATCAATTAACATGCTAATCATTTATTTAGCTTCATGTACCTCACCATACATTCATGCATAACTGATTTAAACAAATTAAACAAAAGTATGATATATTTATTGAAAATGTCTTACCTGTGTTACACTTGTATTTGAGATGACCGATGAGAGATGCAGGGTTACTGTACATCTTGCCACAGTTCTTGCATGCAAAGCTTTCATCGTTACCTTCTACAGCAAAAAGAAGAAATAGAGATTACTGATGGAACATGGGAGGCACTTTGTAAAATTACATGTAGACAATCCTCCCTTCCAAATATAAGGTTGTCAAAATGTTGGATCATGTGTAATAAAGGCATCCACGTTCGAGTGTCAATCGATACCCTTGACCGACACTCACTCGACATCTCCATTGATACTTGGTCAATGCTTGATCAACATCTTGGTTGACAGTCTGTTGAGAGTAGACTAATTTTTGCAGACATGCCATCAATTGTCAATCGATATGTATGAGTTGGTTGACACTCTGCCAACTATCAACCAACTGTCGATTGAGTGTCAATCTAGTGTTGAGCGAGTATTGACCGAGTATTGATTGAGATGTCAATTGAGGGTGTCAATTGACACTCAACTGCATATCATGCCTTTAGTACACATAATCCAAAATGATTCTTTATCTTTGTCATAGCGAAGTTGAAAATGATCAATATTTAAATTCTCATTACAATTTCAATACATTTTCCAGCAAGCAAGTGACAAGAATAAAAAAAATCCATCAACTAGGGTATGTTCTTTTGATACCACACCAAATTCTCAAAAATAACAATACCTGTAGCAAACAACAAGGAGATCTGAAATTACTTTTGGAATAAAAAGCTGTTAATCACCTATCTCCTTTGATGCCTTTGATGCTCCCTTCTTGGAAGTTTTAATTCCAAGAATCCTGGCAAACTTTTCACCATAAAACGTTAACAGCTCATCACCAATCTCAATCTGTTTGGTAGCCATGTAGTAGATATTTCCATCATACTGAACAGCACGGATGTTCTGATCTCCAACACTCTTGGAACAGTTCACATAGCGCAGCCAGTTGGACTGAAAGGCATCACGGCCATCAACCAAGTGCATCAGTTTCCCGTAGTCATCTCGCACCTAAATAAACCAAATTAAATGCAAGGAAACTTAGTGTTAAGTACTTGTTGTTCTATTCTTGAGGTAGCAAGAAAGACACAATGGTGAGAACCTTTGCCTCTCAACAACTGGATTCCTGTACCTGGCATCATAAGTGGGTGAGTTTGTTGTTGGTGTTTGCCTTACTTTGAGGGTTTTCTCCAGGTCCTCTGGATTTTTGTTTCCTATCAAAACCAACACTCCAGACTCAAACTTCATTCTGGAAACAGTGGACATAGGACCTTCCTGTGGGATGTTCTGCTGCCAATTCTGATTTATTGTACCATTATTCATTACAACAAGTCTTTTCTCCAGCAATCTAATTTATTAGGTTTCCTCAACAATTTCATCAGCCTCAAACACGGTTGTGATTTCCTTGACTCAACCTAAATGTCCTTGGGGGAATTTTACAAAATGTACAACAATACTAAGGAAAATACAAGACCTAACTTACCTCCCATACATATGGTGAGTCTTTATACTGCTTTGCCTCCTCTGCAGTAACCTTTTTACCAACAAATGGACCAAAAAAGTCATGTTTGGGAATAACACACTTGGCAAACACCCCTCGACCAGCCTTTGGAATATTGGATTCTTTCACTTCAAGTCCAGGAGGAACAATGACCTCTGCTTGTGCAACTGTATGACAGAAAATTAATAAAAACAACTGTGAAACCATTCATTACTTAAGCTTTACATTACTTGCAAAAACTTTCACACATTTTATTTTGGACTTATAATTTTTAGACACTTAATCTCATTTTGAACAAGTTTCTGACAAACTTTTGGGCACTTTGCTGAAACATAGTTTGCGCGTGCCTACAAAACACAAATTAGACTGAAACAACATCTGTGAAAATGATAGTTTTACTACACCCTCAAGGTTTAACAGATACACCAGTGAGAAAATAACAGAAATTGTATCAAGCTGTTACACATCTCAAGTAGTGTCTCAACTAGAGTTCACTCCATAAAGGAAACTTAAAGCATTGGAGCTAATTAAAAGTTTGATGCTGTAAATATTTCGGAAGGTTAAAATTTTGGACACTTAAAAATTTCAATGATTATATTTTCAAATAATTTTTGCCCAAAATTAAAATCGTCCAAAATTTCTTGCAAGAAATGGATATTAGAAATTTTTTCCCTTCTGAAGTGTAATACATAAGAATTTTTATTAAGCTGAAAGTTGTTTTCCTCACTAAAGCACATGTAAGTTTGAAAGAAAATGAGCTTTAATTAAATTTGATCACTTAGCTGAGAACAGGCCAAGAAATCGTGCAGAGCGATCGAAGTAAGTCGAGCAATAAGTCCTATATACCCGAGCTCCAAACGCGCCGAAAATGAGGTCACATATTAATGACAGGTAAAGGAAACCAGTTAGCGTTGCTTCCTACACTTGAATGGTTTTCTGAATTGATAAATATCACGCGTGGAAGTGACATGTAACAAAATTAGCATTTTCTCACGCGAAATTTTTGCCGAAATTTGGACGGGTAAAAAAGCAGCTCAGAGCGATTATAACATCGGGTTTCGCTTCGTTTTTGTTGACATCTCGGTGGTTTCATTCGCTTGGCTGTAAGTGTAAACCAATACGTGAATATGTAAATACGCGCACGGCATCCAGGGCGCAAGGTTGGTTGCTCTCTGAAAGTGTTTATAATACACATTTATACAAATTATCGACCCAAGACATTTTTAAACTAAGACTTATACTTCATTAACCTGGCTGCTGGAGATAGATAAGTTGTCAAAAGCAAACACAGGTCAGTTTTAAGCGGCCATTTAGTCCTGCCTTGTACTGTATGCAATGACTATGAAGACGCGCATACAAATGAAGTTGAATTCCGAGATCACTCGACTCGCGCTGGAATTGTATCATTTTCGGCTCAAAAATTCTTTCCACTTATTCCCTACGAAGCTAAGTTTAATCCCGTTCTGGTATAGCTTTCTTCGAGAGTGGCAATCATTCGGGAATTATAAGAATTATTTGAAATAAAACTCGGAATCTAATTGCTAATTTATGCAGGTTGACCATGTGCTTGGGCTAAAATTATAAATACCAAACTCACGCTTGCTAAGCTCCGCATCAGGCAAATCTTCTCCAAAATAATACTTGAGCTCGATAATTTTACGGCGCACTGGTTTGGAGGAAGTTCCCCGATCGACGCTCTTTGTATGGCCATCTTCTCCAGCTTCTTCATCTTCGCTTTCGCTGCTTTCCGAACCCGTTTCTTCGCCATCGTCTTCTTCTTCGAAATCATCCGCGTCTACGCCAGTTATTTCAGGGTCTGTCTGTGTCTCAGCGTCCACTTTATTCGCCATTTTTGCCTGCAGCTCCTCTTCTTCTGAAATCGAAATAAAAGTTTCAACAATTTGCTAGTAAGCTTGTAAAGGAATGTAATAAACAGCTCGCGTTCAAAACACACGCTTCTGTAACAAGCGAATGTTACCTTTGCTCTTCTTCGCAGAGGATCGCGTTCCAACCCCCATTTCTACGACTCGCCGGCACGCCGGAGTTCTGCGCGTTCAAATTCTGGCGTGACTTCAACTCTTACAGCCTTTCTAGAGCTCTGTATGACCTGTAATAATCGCACTCACCAAGCACCACAAGTCTTTCCAGAGCATGTAGAAACGCAAGCAGTGAGTGAACTTACTTTCCGAGCAGTTCACATAGTCCACTTTCGATCTGTCAATCACAATAGCTCTACAATGGCTTCTGCATTCAATTGGCTTGCAGCACACAATTGGCTTTCACAGCTTTCCCGCCAGTTCTTTTGTTATGAAATACTTTTAAATTCTTGCATAGTAATAAGTAATCGTGAGCGTTGAGTCTTGCATTAGAATATCAAATAACGATAATATTCTTTTAAAATGAAATCTTATAAGTTTCGTTCAAATTCTTCTCGCAGCGTGACTTGGTCCGCCAGCAAGAACATTTAACTGATCTAATTGATTTTCCACGCTATTGCAATGTTTGCCGAGGCAAACCATTATTACATTATAAAATAAATTGAAGACAAACGTCTCACTGTGACAGACAGTAAACATATTTCAGGTGCCCTGATCAAATTCACAGGTAGATCAAAAAGTTGTGACCTGGCACACCCTGTTTGCGTGACAATTTTCAATCGCAAACACTGCTGGTGTCAGTGCGTGTCACGCTAGGTTTCGCGAACTGTTACAAAAATATATTCTAAAATAATAATAATATAAAACAACTGTTACATCGCCGCTAGTCTAACAACACATTTTTACATCTTATTAAGTCTATTAATCAAGCGCTGATCAACGTTTCTCAACTCCTCACGTCTGACGAAAAAGCGTGAAAAGAAATTTGGAAGAGACTGAAAGAAAATAATCTTTACGCTAAAGGAGAGGCCCATGTATGGGGGATATGTTCTCTTGGATCATATTCTCAATCTCGTCAGAAAACTGACCGATAAATATACAGCATCATCTGGGAAAGTTTAATACGGTTCTCATCCAATTCTTGAAAAGTTATGAAAAGTTAAATATTGGCCCTCTGAAATAAATTTTTTTCAGTGAAAGTGTTTAAGTCAAAATAAGTAAATTTTAAAATTTGGCCTTTGTGGTTGGTGTTCTTCAGATTACGCAGAATTTTGTGCTTTCACGTCGTTGATGTTTTCATGGCACGGACGGCAAAGAATGTGCCAAGACTGGGATCTAACGCACCTGCAAAGCCATTGCACTCGTAAAGCATTCTGTTTAGTGGCGTTGCCGTTGCCGTTGTGGTTTGCTAAAACTCCCATATAATTAAAAATACATATATATTGATCTATCGTCGATCGCGCTGTCACATAGGTAGTAGGAATACCACGTTAGGCTATGTTCATGCGGTTTTCTCTCGCGTCACACCCGACGGACTAAGCGAAAGAGGGACTACGCGTAGTCTAGGTGCCGAGAACGATTATCGCGCGCTGGGCCTAAGGCTGTGTTCACACCTGGTGCCCGAACACTGTTGTCTGGACATTCGACATGAAATAGTGTACTCCAAGTACTCAGGTACCGTTTAGTAAGGTCGAGACCTTGTACCCGGTGCACGGGCACTGGGTCCAAATTCTGGTATGAGTGTGTGTGTGTTCACATTAGTACCCAATAAAAATCGTACTCGGCAACTTTAAACACACTTTTTTCCAACTGGGCGGGGGCATGGAATCCACCGCGAGAAAATCCTGCTCTTGAAGACACTGAACTCCCCATGTTACGCAAATGACAGTGGAGAAACATAAGTCGCATTGGAAGACTAATCCTGCTAGAACTTCATGAACTGAAATTCAATCCGTGTGTTAAAATTCTGTCCCAGACAAACATTTTTGGGCTTGTTCAAGCTGATACGCTTTGACACTTGAATAGGCTGATGAGCTATCATATCGCAAAGTCACACAAAGCTTTATATGTCTATTTATAGTAGATTTAATCATCGCAACATGATGACACTATGTACAGTTTGATTTTGAGGTCATTTGAATTAACAAAAATATCAAAGTGGCTGTGAGACACTGAACTTTTAAAATAAATTATAAAAGGGCAAACAAAATGAAAAAGTTCAACGTTAAGAAACTGTTTGTTACTCAGGAACGGCCTACACGTTTTACGTTACGTCTTCCTTGTGCTGTAGTCAAAAACGGTAAGATCATTTTGTTTGGTCAAAAGTGAGGTATGGACTGAGCGAAACACTTGAGCCTGCGGTACGTAAATAAATAATTAATATTTTGGCCCTCAGGTAGTTAGCGCAGTGTAATAAGCGAGACATTGGGAGTTCGAATCCTAGTGGTGACTACTGATTATTTTCCCTTTTCTTCTCCATTCTTTTTTTTTTTTTTTTTGTCAAGAAACACTTTGATTAGGATAATAGATTATCGAGTTAAAAAATACTTGGATCAATGCCAATGAGACCACATTACAGTTGTCTGTTCAGTGACCTGGCCTTTGAATGGCAGCGAGGCTGAAGGTGACCTTGTTTTGATAAAGACCTCTCTGCTTTCGTTGTGTAAATCAAGTTGCAGACCACAGTGTAAATAGTATACACTGCATGAATCATCTCCCCGTTAGTATTGGAACCTATCAGTGGAACTTTTTACTACCGGCACTGAGCTACAAAGAACACCTGGTGAGCTAGATCATGTTACTCGGTTCTACAAAGTCCAGCGTCACGTTTATTTCAGTTAATTCGCCAGTGTTAGTGTCCTTTTTTGACAATTTTCAATCAGGGTGGGGACCTTACGAGATCAGTAAGGAGGTCTGCAAACAAATGGCGCATTTGATTATGCGCCATACTGAATTCTCAGTCGCTTTGCAGTCATCAAAATATGAAAAATATGCGGGCTGAAGTAACGTTAGCAACAAATATGAAGTCGTAAACTTTTTCCTGTCTTTTTCTGCTTGTGCAAGCGTAGGCAGAAGCTTATAAATTATCTGGTGATGGGGTGATAAGCCTCTGGCGTGGGGTAAGATTGCTTTTTACAAGACTTTTGCGAGAACATTGAACAATTTTATTCTTTAAATAATTCATATTTGCACGTCTTATGTAAATTGAGAAGAAAATCATTCCTTCTTTCCTGAGGCCAGAAGCCTGACGTGAATTCTATGAGGATATACGCAACATTTGTTTAAACTCGATCTATAGACTTCTTGTCTCTTCACACTCGTCTTCTCTTTCAACTTCCCTATTTGTCTTCATCAGCACACGAATCCTGGATGCCTTCAAACACTAACGGCTCGTCTAAGAAACCAGCAAAACATACATTAATAATACATACTGCGAAGACTAGGTGATCACGAAAAAAAACAGAATATACTTAGAAACAAAAAAGTGTCTTTGCAACTGAAAACTGAAAGCCGAAGACACTACAAGTGGACGAAGAACGATGGTTGAATTTCGCACCTGTTCCAGCCATGACCGTTGTACCCTCTGTGAGGAATTCGTACGGCTTCATGTCCCCACCCTGGAGAGTGAGAAGTACTAAGGGCAAGACACTTTCATAGCCCAGAACAATACACTGATCATCACCCATGGGACATACCGCTGTCACCTGCGAAAAAGAAATAAGGATTATCAGGTTCATCATGTTTCGATTTCGAAAACTGAAAACCACATTTTCGCCAGTCGTATTCGAGTACAAATACAGCGGTTTTACCTGTAAAACTTCGGGAAAAAATCGCTACTTGATATAGGCCCCACCCTTGTAAATTATTAGGATTCTGGAAGCAATTTTACTTCTTCCATTATGAAGATCGAGTTGTTTTGTAATTTAATTCATTTCAGGATGCTCAGAGCCTTTTTAAAATATGTTTAAAAAGTTCCACCGCTCAGTACTCAGTTCTTTATTTTTCACAACAAAATTACCTTGAAAATATAAGCCCGACCCTAAAATCAATCCTACTGCCCAAAAATAAGCAGAGACTTCAGAGAAAAGCGACAAGATGTATTTCTTCCTACACCTCCCCTGTCCTGAACAGGCCATTTCCAAGTTCGCTTATGCCTCAGTTTCAAAACGAGTCTTCATGCAAAACCTTTTAGGCGAAATGAGTTCAATTTGCATGAAAATGAACCTGTAGCGCGAACATATTTTCATATGAATAGTCTCGCACGAAGACTCGTTTTGACACAGGGAAAAAGAAACTCGAAAATCCGGCCAATTGGGTTCTAGTGCATGCAAGGGTTACCCAGTATTCAATTCGCCCGTACCCATCATATACCTGGGTAGACTAGGCAGACTAACCTGAAGGCCATTTAGTTGTTGGCGCGGTTTCGTGAATAGAGACTTCAAAAATTAATGCTACATCCAAGTCTTCCACCTTATCTGCAGTGAAGGTAGCTTTCTGAGCGGCCGCTTTCATGTCCCACATGATCAGTGTCTTTCCCTCATGGGACACCACCTCTGACGCGATGACGTCAATTCGAAGATTGCTGAAATGGCTACTGGGAAGGATATGAATGGCGGTCCCTAAAAAGCGTGACAAAACATGAATAAGTTTGGTAAAAGAAACACATTACCGTGTCTAACCTTCAAAGATTGTCCGTGAGGGAGAACCAAGAGGACTCGCCCCAGGGTAAAAATGCAGAGGCTGTCTGTTCGGCTCCAGGGATGTTGCTAAGGCCCCGTCCACATTCCGCCGAAGGAATTTGAAAACGCAACAATCACCGGTCATTTTGTATTTGTGTTTGGGCAAAACTCGGTCAGGAAAATCACATAATTATCGCGGTGACGCCATGGTTATCGAAGAGCTTCGTTTTCAAAATGTTTTCCGTCCACACGAAAACGTAATGCCGGAGTTTTCAACTTTCTCCGGTTTAAAGAGCGTTTTCGAAAAGCTCCGTTTCCGTGACGGATTAATGTGGACGGTAGAGATAAAGCTGGGTTTTTAAATTTCTCTGGCGTATTTCAATCAAAACAAAGGCTTGGGGTAACTTATGGCCATTGGCAGTCTATTTGCCCAGAGCCGGCCCTTGATAAAACGCTTCGTTACGTTTGGGATGATGATAGAGAAATGGATAAAATTTAAAATTGTCCCAGGAGCCCACTAGCAAGTCTGATGTTACTCTAGTGCCATGCGTTAAGAATAAAACAGATTTAAATTTGTTACTTGTACTTGAGAACTTTTGTAATGCCTAAGAAATCAAATCTTCTGGTCGTACCTTCTAAAATGTTCCAACAAACTAGCTGTGA